TTTCGGGACATTAAGCAAATGTTACAGTTGATTTAAAGCTAAATAATCGCATTACTAAGGCAGCTATTTAACTCACGTTTGCATCGTTTGAAGAGTTTTATCCTAAAAATACGAAGTGCGACCGGTGGTGAGGGGACATTGTCTCTTTCCTCAGGAGCTGCATCTGAACTGTTCAACCTTGCAGTTTCGCCCAAATCCGTACTGGAGGGGCTTTCTGAAGGGTTCGTCCACCTAGCTGGTTTGATGTGACCCCCGTTTTCTTCAAGAACATTGGACGGCTGAGTAGCTGTCTCTACAGCCGTATTGTGTGACGTATTTAGTGTGACATCTCCCTTGTCTTCTGGCCGCAGCTGTTCAAAGCTTTCTGCAGAGTCTACTGGCGTCTTTGTGTACAAAGCTGTCGGCCGGCTTGTCCCATTAGCATTATAAGCCGGCTCCCTAACCTGCCCAGAGATCACTGCTTCCGTTTTGTGACTATTAACTTTGAAAGTATTCCCTGCAATAGGCACTAATGCATCCCTAAATGTGTCTGCCGGCTTGCCTGAAACAAGATCATCGGTGCTAGCCCCATATTCGGTGATCTGCTCGCTAGAGGCCGTATGTTTGATCGTGTACTCCCTTTCGGCATCTGATTTCGCCTTTCCACTTAACACACTACAAGGTGCCGCGTCAGAAGAGACCGCCAGGCTGGCAGCTCCTGCTTGTATATCTGAAGCTGGCAAAATTTTTGTGATGTTACCGGGGCTAGCATGATAGACACCGTCGCCTGAACTGCTACTGTTGACAACTGCGTGCTGTCGAGAGGAAACTGCTGCATCAGCATTTGTTCCATTTTCGTCCAGCAAAGATGAGGCTATCATCCGGAATGACTCCTGTTCCTCGCTTGATGGAGGTAGGTTCGTTTCCTGCGTTTCTCTTGACATGCCAGACACTTGCTTGTGAAGGGTGGACGACATACTGTTTTCTTCTGAGGAGTCATCGACTTCATGAAGGTATGTTGAGTAATCAGATATATTCACAAAGGCCACGGAAGCATAAGCTTCCGCCGCTTGGGACTCATTAGACCTTTGTTTCGCCATGTCTACAGAGTTCGTTCCTTTTGGTTCAGAATACAAGACGCTCCCTGTCGAAAGGACTAAAGGACTTCTTTTCCGTTCATCCATTTCTGGAAGCAGTGTTGTGTCAGAAGATTTAGTTATCCCATAGGACTGCCAGGTCGGGATTGGTTCGCTTGTAACAGTGTGTCTCTCACTCAAAGAGTCGTGTAAATAAGTGGAGTCAACTTTTCCAGGAAGGTCCACGTCTGAGATTTCCTTAGGCGGATTGCTGACGATATTCTTAGTACTAGCAGCGGCATTTTCATGTATGCCTCCTAGTGGATCCGTCGGTTTATTTGGAAAAAACCGTGAGTTTACAGAAACTGGTGTCGTTGTTTCGGTTATCAGGGAGTCCGTTTCTGCATAATTAGTCGCCATACATAATGTTGCCATGTAAACCATTATTAATGCGGAAAACATAATGAAACTGCACGGTGACTGAACAGGCATTTTGATCTAAAAACAAAAAAAATTGTCAATACAATTATAATTGCAGAAAGCGATCAGACTATAGCATATGAACATTGTTAACGAACCATGTGGTTAACTATGCCCGTCATTTCATTCATCGGGTTTTTAACTAGGCTCGTTAACTGCTATATTACATTATTATTTAACTATAAAACAAAGAATCGAGGTCACGAATAAGTTGTGTGTTTTCAATAACCACTGCCTATTTAATATATGTCATAGGAGACACGAATATGGCATTTGTGTGGTTGGCAACAACCTTATTTGTTTTCTAATTATTTTTTACTTATGTAGAAGTAGAACTTCACAAACCCTTCCCGGAATGCTTATATAACCGACAGAAAACTGCAAAGATTTCCTCATATGACTTGAGAAGATTTCTTTCCATATGCATAACTTGGTAATATCTTGCTACCTTATCTATGTTATGCTAGTTAATGGAACAATTTCAAATAATAACATACTTAAAACAAAATTAAAACGCTTTACCTTATTTCTGCGGTAGTTACGAACGTACGTTTAAAAAGATAAATGGGAAAGCATAATTTCCCTGAGATTTATTATTACATTGCCATGTTGATGTGAGTGTTATTCAATTAGACTACAAATAACCTGCGGGACGGAGTCATCGACTTGCGCATTTAATTTTTTTTATACTGGTGTGGAACAACGCTTGCTTTGTCTCATCTGAACTATGTTAAAAAATTTCTTTATACGTTATACTTTCCTAAAACCAATATCAAGGGGGTAATAAAGCAAAAGCGTTAGAAAATTGCGATGATCAGGTAAACCTTTTCTTATAAGTGGCTTGATGAGCAATTATTCAGTTAAACGTAGTACATCACTTTTTTATTTAAATAAAATCATCGTCAGCACTTCAATAGACTTGTGTGAATAAAAGGAACAATTATATAAAAGATACCTCCATCAGTTGGCTGCAGACTCTAAACCACGAACGAGGTGTAATCCAATACTGCTCGCAAATGATGCGCCGAAATTAAGTGTGACGAACAGCTTGCGTCATATGACGGCTTCGCAATGGGATTGGTCAGCTATCCACACAGCATGATGTCAAAATGCCACATAATATTCTGCGCATATTTACTTATGGCTGAACTTCGACCTGGCAAAAAAATAACCGGAGATTTCCAGTTGATTATGTTACCCGTTTCACAAGCTATATCCCCAATTGTGCAGATTGCAGAGTGCAGAGTACACATAGACCGGCCATTTGGTATTTAGGAAAGACAACTGGCCTTTCATGTAATAAAAATCAATTCCCATGCTTTTTTTAAAGTTAAACCTTGTCGTTATTGTAACTGTCATGTTAAACAACTGACGACAAACGGGTGGGATATAAAATTAATCCAGTTCAGCAGAACTTGGAAACCTCGCTGGGGTTCGGACTCACGCTAACATGGTATAAATTTACTTCAGGAAACGCTCCAACCAACTGAACTACCAGGTCTCAAACAGCGATCGTGGGTTTGTTTACCATTGTGTCAGTTTACTCACTCAGCCTAGGCTAACTAATGGAGTTAGCTAGGTGTCCAAACAAGATGTAAAGAAATTAAACTACAATCCACTATCGGACTATCACACTGTTGACATTAGTGCGGGGGTTTGGAAGATTTAGATAATCCACTGTACCCCTACAAATTACCTGATCCTGGTTTCTATCTGGCGGTAGTCCTGTTTCGACAGTCAGATTTTTCTTTCGTTATAAATGGATAGCACATGTAGTATTTAGATAGGTGGTCTACTTACTCGACAGGTGATTCAAGTATTTGTTCCCGGAGGGGCCCTCATAGATCGGGTGCATATAAGATTTTCTGTACTTCCTAGATCGGTTACGCTAACGATGCACGTCAATTTAAAAAAAATATATTTGCAAATTCATGGAATTTAATATTCACCATGCAAAGAAGTCCGTGTAGCGATATAAAGACATAGAAGCCAAGCCGTTTACTAAAACCTAAGAAAAACACGTTCCGTTAGACATGTTTAATGCAGCTAGAATAGTTGAAAGAATACGATCAAAACGTACATAAGCAAAACAAAATTACCCTGCCGTTTACTTTACATTTGCATAGAAGGCTAATATAGTTTTAGCTAGAAACCCAAACTACTACTAATTTTCGCCCTTCAGTCTGCCGCTTCGTGTTCTTTTTAGAGATGCGTTTCAGACTGTTGCCATTTAAACGTTACATTATATACAAATGAGTCATCGTTAAATTTACTATACGAATGCCGCATCATGTTATAAATGTACAGTAGATCCCCTGACTCGTGAAATTTAGTAAATTCACCAAAAAATGTAATTTTGCGCAATGTCGGCACACGCGGCGTGTCTCCAAACTATTATCGAAGTAAATTATGAACCATAAGTACAAAGAAGACACATACTGGTGGACTAATTACTATTTACTAGCATAAGGATATTTAAGTTGCAAAAAAAACTCGCAATTAAGGAAATGACGACATGATAAATCACTGGTCCAATTTTCAATATAAATATTCTTAAGTCATGGGAATGGAGAAGAATGGCAAGTTAAGACAGAATAAGTACAAATACAATTTTTTATAAGTTAAATCGTTTCCATTCACATTTAATCTTGAATTTAATGTGTCAGAAATGGATGTGGTTACCGTATCTAAAGTTTTTTCCCCAATGTGGGAACTTCGTAAAAGTTTCTGTTTTAAATGCACGAAAAGACCCTTGCGTGCTTTGTGTTAATTTCTGTTGACAATTGCAAAAACGATTTTCTATGGTAATCAAATCCCGGCTGTTTAGCGGAATAAAATATATAAAACCCCACGCACGGATAGGATGGTTGTTTACTAAAAAGTTAGATCACGGTTGTCCATGTACTCATACTTATACCATCTTGTGTATATTAAGAGAAACTTCAGTTTGCCACCTTTTTTATAATTATTTCGAGCATTCGAGTGCTACTAGCTGCAGATTGTTTTCGAAATTATGGTGAACACTTTAAAATTTCCCTGTATTGATTTGCTTTTCAAAAATACGGATTTCGTTCAACCTGCTTACCGGAAACTTAACAAAATGAATATCTTAAAAGCAATTACCTAAATAAGGAGTTCTTACACATTCCGCTTCATGTAGCTGCCTGTGTGGGCAATGAGTTTAGAATCATCCAAACATCTCAATTCATCGCCTAGAAACATGAATTTCTACAATAAAAGCCGAGAATGAATACGTCCAAGTTTAATTAGAAAACTTTCTACAACCAGTTATCTATTCAAAAAGCGCTTAAGTTCAATATTTCAAGGTCGAATATCTGTGTACTATACTTCTTTAAGATTAACTCAAGATAAAAGTGAGATGTTTTTACCAGTTATTTATTTCTCTAACAAATAGAGATAAGTACTCTGCTGGAAATGAAACAACTTAGATTTCCATGTAAAACAGAGCAGTTTTCTTTACGTTCTTTTACTTCACGTCATCGTGATCTAAAATATACTTTGATATTTTTTAACATGATCTTTGTCTGTTCTGTTCCAAGTTTTTATATTCATTGATTTTCTTCTATATTTTCACAAACTTTAGACGGAGTTAATTAAGAGTGTTCCATGTTATTTCATGTAAAGTCAAATAGGATCAGTAATTTCGGCGAACTAAAACACCTTTTAGTATCCTGTAAGTGTATTGTTATCGGTAGGGCACAAAACGACACAGGCTTGTAAGGAAAATAATTGTTAACTGAAATCATTTTTATTTTCCCGAGAATAATGCTTTATCTCATACGCACATTAGCCTCGATTTCTTGGACGCAAAATAAAATGTGCCGTTTTTTGAACAGATATAATTTAAAAGTTCCGGCTCTTTATTAATGTTCCTTTATAGTGCAACAAGCACAAGTAAGAAGTTCCTTTCTGCAGCCTTTGATAGCGCAGGCGATTCCTCGGATATCTACAAACGCTGGATTTCGCTCGTTTCCGCTTCTTTTTTCTCCCACTATATTCATATGAACGGAATGTTATTCTAGTAAACAGTATTTTGCGCCTCTATTCACCCCAATGAACTAAATCAATTACCTCAAATGTGTGTTAAATCTCCCAACCGCCTATCTTTCATCAGATATTTCGGGTTTGGTCAGGTCAGATTTTATTAAAGGAAATGTAGGTAAATACCTTTGAATTCCTTATAAGTACGGAACAGTTAAGTAATGCATTGGTTCAGCAAAGCATTTCAAAAGAATGGCGGTGCCAGTTAATGGAACTGGGTAAAAATGGCCGACAGTAAAATATTCCTTAGCTATTGTGCTATTTTTGCCATTTTTATAAAGACAAGCGTAGAGTTGTTATTCTAAACACTTACATTACTGAAAGGTAGCGATGTGGTGGCTATACAGTCTAACTTAGTCTTAAATGTGTTCACAGATTGAGACATGACAAAATCCGCGAGCAGAGCGTTTCATGCCTTATTTAGAAAGAGCTGTACCGGGCCGCGCAGCCTACCCACGTTAGCTGTAGGCGATTTTCGCAATTCTTTTCCAGATCGTCTAGTAGTTATTCTAAACAATCTTCTTTAATCTACTCTTTGTCTAGTACGATCGTTCACAGGCGTCTATTGATCTTGTTCGTCGCATGGAATTAGCGAAGTTGCGATCACTATCCTTAATTTTAGGGCATTAGCAAGTCCAATTTCGTATTATTTGTTTAAAATTATAAACAGCTGCATGACCTCCAATGATCGAGCTTGCGTCCATGGGCAAGACCTACTTGTGGAAAATTCGCCTACTCGATGGGAGTCGAACCCATACAGCAGAGGCGGCTTTTGCGCAGCGGCCGCTATACCACTGACCTACGAGTATTACTGTCAGCCTTGAATTCAATCACAATTGGGTTGGTTTGCCTGCCCAGCTTACAGCTTGTATGGGATCCGCTGTTAAGCTGGTTGCCAGGCAGGATATTCTAAGTGGACATCTACGATTCGCTGGATGGACCGCTAGGCTAAACATTATCATTAGCGAGTTTACAGATTTCCATAATTTTCATTGGCTTAATTGTTAAAAAAATACGTGGCTTCGGTGGGAGTCCAACTTGCACAACAGGGCAGGATTTCGCACAGCTAACACTAAATTTGATCTACGAGACTCACCGTTAGCCGTGAATTCAAATAAGTTTGATAAAACATAAGAAGTATCAACTTCAACACACAAATTAATTTTATTCTTAGCAACTGAATGAAAACGGGTATGGTTATAGGGGAAAAAGGCATAACATTATTAAATAGGTTAATGCATTTTCAGTTGTGGAATGGTCAAGTAGCAAGAACAAATACGCAAATATCATTTATAAATGGGATAAGTAGGGATCACATGGGAACATATGAGTATATTCTGTTATCATTCGAAAGAAAGCAGTTTCGAGTTTATTTTCCGAGATTTGGCCAGCAACGCAGTGTTAATCAGGAATGATTTTAGAAGAAGGAAAGACGTTGCGGTTTGAGAGTTGGAAAGATTACTGCCTCTGACCTGTGTAGTGCAGAATAGACAGATGTCAAATATAAATGTAAAAAATATGGTAAACCCTTCAGAAATTGAATAAACTTCACAATCTGCTGTAAACTTTAATGCTACACCTTGACTTAAGGATCAAACATAACACAACGCGTAAAGTTATACTCTTAGGCGTTGTCAAACTGCAAAATGTTAATGCAGAAGACCTATCAATTTAAATTGCCCATTTGAACAATACAGCTGTTAAATATCGAAGTCTACTAAAGGCTAAAAGTACAAAAGTAGTATGACAACTAAGTGACTTACCACAAGGTACCCTTGAATCAGGATCAAAGTTGAAGCATGATTAGACAGGCCACAACATCTACAACAAGCGGTCCAACCAGTTTGCTTGCACTAGTGCACCTTGGACCTAGAAACAAGAGAAGACCCCTCACTCAGCGAAAATAGCCAAAAAATCAGTTTAAGCCACCGGCATTGAGCTAACATATTGGAGTCAATGCAGTTAACAGTTTCTCTTAAGCAGATTGTTTTGACCTCAAAATTTCGCAATTACAATTACAATTTAGACCTAAAGTGGAGTTTAGTATTATCCGCGTTTGCAGGTTAGCTGAAGTGAAGCAAGTTTAAAACTTGATGAGCAAAAATGCGGACTTCAAAGACCGGTTTCCTCATTGACTAGAGAGTAATTTTGTAGATAATGTATGCGTAAATGTTCACCAGAAGTCACGCATTTTTAAGAATGCTGGAAATTATTTCTAACTTATTCTCCGACAAAAATGTGTTTCGAAAGTGATGGAACATAAAATACAAACGAGCCTTCAACATAATTATATATACAATAGCCTTTTTGCCACCATACAAGATGGAGCGACGACCTTCTGTTTTATGGCAATAGACAACACCTGCCTTTATTGAGGTGAACGTTGTTAACAAAAATAACTGACGACAGTGAACAACCTACAATAATAAAAAATCCTGTCACGTGTACTTCATAAATGTTTGGTATTAACTCAGGACTGTGGTTGGCTGACCGCTGAAAATATATTCTTGCCTTCCTCAGTAGGATAAATATGAACAAGCATACCTTCATAAATATCACGATCCACTTTGTAAACTGCAATTATTTTTGCCAGTTATTTTCATGAAACTATATCTTGTCGCTAAAACAAATATAACATCGAGACTGCGTTAGAAGTACTCATTATCCCGTGCGTTCATATTTCGTATACATCTGCAATTAATTACTTCACGGGTCCTTATATAGTGACTGCGCAAATATGTATTTATGCATACTTTTTGGCGTGCGTATGTCATCATTCCGACCAGTCACGAGACATCGCATCTGAACTTGATATCTGTTTTAAATCCAGAAACTTTCATTTTTAACTGCGAGTTATTGTTGTGCTTTCTGTCTCTTAAATAAGAATTAATTGGCGAATTGTAACTGAACCTAATAATTAAACAAATAATCCATAACAAACGGCTTCGGTTTTTATTAACTTTAATTGCCTGGAGAAAATCGAATGACGTCTTCAAAATTCGATCCACTAAATATGCGTAAAAATGGTGGATTCTACGCACGCAAGTGATTGGCCAAAACAAAACATTCAATATACACTGGAGATTGCCGCAGTCATGAAAATGAAATTTCGACTTTAAATATTGCTGGTTTTGTAGCAGTTGTATTAAGGTCTACTAGAAGAAGCAAAAGGATAAGGGTATAATCACTAGCTAGTTTTATTGACATGATGTTGATGTAAACTTTTCAGGAATACAACCGGAAAAACGATATAATTTTATAAACGAAAATATATTTTTGGTCGGGTCAGCAACAAGGCTGCACCTGACTGGTTTAATCTGTCAGGCTAGCCATTGGGCAATCTTATACTGCGGTGAACCTCTCTGGATCGTAGTGGTAGTCATGGCTTGTGCAATTTCCGTAGCCCATATCGCCTAATAATATGTACAACTAGAAGCCTTAACCAGGCAGCTGAATGAGGGTTCATCTGCCAATGGTTTTTTTAACGGTTATAGTTTAGCAGCCAACGGGAATGCAGTCATTTTTGAACGATTTTTTCTGTTTGTGTGAGGTTAAATAAGACCAAAATAATAGTAATGCAAATATTTAACTTACACTTGTACAGGTTGAATAGGTTGCCGCCGATAACACCAAGTGCAATTGGGGCAGAAGTGGCCTTCTTGTTTCCGCCAGAAGTGGCTTCGGTACTTTTCAAATTCGCCGGATCCTTCAAATCTGTCCTGTAGGGATTATTTGAGGGGTTCCTCCCGCCAGCTGGTTTAATATCACCTCCGTTTTCTTTGTAGACCCCAGACGGCTGAGCAACTGTCTGTACAGACGTACCGTGCGTCGTGTTTTGTGCGACATCTCCCGTGGCTTCTGATAGCTGTGGCTTGAGGCTTTTTGTGGAGACTGTTGGCTTATGGGCATGCATTTGCATCCCTTCGGTTGCCATACTAATTTCATTGCTACCCACAGCATTAGTAGGCGGCTCTCTAAACTGTCCAGCCGTACTTACTTCTGTTTTTTGATCAGTCGCTTTATAAGCGGACCCTGCAATAGGCATTAATGCTTTCGTGGATGTATCGGCCGGCTGGCTTGATGCACGATCATCTGTGCTAACCCTGTTTGTGGTAATATGCTCGCCAGAAGCAGTGGATTTGATCGTGCCCTCTCTTTTTGGTTCGGATTTCACATTTTCAATCAACACTTGTTTACTTTCGCAGTCAGCGCTACAAAGTTCCGTGGCAGTAGGCTCTGAAGAGGCAGCAGAACTGGTAGAAACCGGCAGAATTTTCGTAATATAACCGGAACTAGCATGAGTGGTACCGTCGTCTAAACTGCCACTATTGATGGCTGCCTGCGTACTTGCATCAAAGTGGTACTCGAGTAGTTCTCCAGACGAAACTGCCTCGATTCCATCTGCTGCATTGCTATCTAGCGAAGATGAAGTCATCGGACTGACTGAATCCTGTTCCTCGCGCGTTGGATTTGGGTTCGTTTCCTGCGTTTCTGTTGACATGCCAGACTCAGGTGTTTGAATGGTGGACATCTTACTGTTCTCCTCTGAAGAAACTTCGACTTCGTGCGGGCTATTTGTGGATTCAGATATGTCCACAGAAGCCTCGGAAGTGTAAACTTCAAATGCTTGCGACTGATTATAATACTGTTCCACCATATCAGTGTTGGAGAAATGACTTTCGCCATCAGTGCTTCGATCGGTACCCCGTGAGGTCACAGAGGGCTGTAAAGCGAAGCTTTGGATGTCCGTTTGCATCACATCGGTAGAATAGGGTACAGATTCCGCCAACGAGGGCAAACCGTCATTTGTCGTTGATGGAGCGTGCACATCGCGTACACTAGAGGTGACGGATAACTGTGCCTGGTTATTGCTATGCACAGCTTCAGAGTCCATTACGTTTGTCGAAATGATACTTTCTGCACGCACTGGAGTCGTCTGTAAAAAGCTCCTGTCATCCCCGGTTCCGAAAATGTCAGCCGTGTCTGCTTGAATCACACCTGCGTTCGGTGAGGAATAAGCTTCAAATTGTCCTGTGACTACATCTGTTCTAGAGGGCACGTAGTCGCCTGCCAATGACGCAGTCTGGGCTTCTTGAATACTAGCGGTTGTGGGGATCTGAGTACGGTTAATACCATGCACATTTTCAGAGCCAAATACGTCTGTAGATACGCTACCTTCGGTGGGCCCTGAAGTACTTGGTGTGAGATTCATGGTTCCTAAAATTTCAGCTGATCCTGGAATAATACTCGGTTCCGAAGCTGCCTTCGAAAAACCGTTAGTTGATTCTTCTGTTTGGATAACTGGTTGCATTGAATGGTCAGTCGTATGTCGCCGTCCATCTGCGCTTTTGAAAGCTTTAGTAGCGTTTTCTTTAACGACCTCCATAGAAACCTTCTCCTCAGTCGAGTTATTTTGCAGAGCTGAAGCACTGTTGAAGGGTGACGTGCTTACCTCGCTCACTTTATTCTCTGACGGAATATTATTATCAAATGATGTTAGGCAATCGGTCGCCTGTAAACACCTATCTGACACGATTGGTTCCTCGGTCGCAATATCATGTGTGTCAGTAGTTTGTGTGTCAAAGTTTGCTTCCCCGTAGGTATCCTCACCAGAATTATCGTTATCCTCATTCGAATTCGTAAATTCATCTTCCTGATTTCCATCGTATCCAACCGTGAGCGCAACCGAAGTCGCCTGCAGTTCATGAGCAGGAAAGCTATCCCATGTAGGAACGCTCACAGGACTGCCAATTTGCTCATCATTTTCTCCTGTCGACCTCGTGTCTACTTCCTCTTCCACATGTTCCGTTGCTCTGGCTTTGAGTCCCGTATTGGTGTCTGCATCTGATGCCGCAGGGGGTTCTAAGGCAATTGTCTGAGAGTATATTTGCGTCTGAAGTATGTGCTCCTGAGAATAGAGCAAAGATGACCCCGTTATTGACTCTGCAATGTTGTCAATTGTCGACGGTGATTCCTGCATATCTTGCTGACTTACGGTGGTGAGGATTTGCATATGGGTTTCGCTATGCATAAATGCGGCTTCGTTTGGTTCTACGGAAGCGAAACGTTGGATGGGCGTTATGTTTTCGTCTAAAAGTCTCCTATCGCCCTGGGTTTCTATAAAATCAGCAATACCTTGCGTAGTACTCGTTTCCCCTTCTTTTGATGTTGTATCCACCTCCGTGTCAGATGTATATGCATTACTTGTACCTTGGGAGGGCACGCTGTAGGAGTCATCAACGAATGAAGCGTTCTTCTCAACCGCTAACGTAGTTTTACTTCCCCCATCTTCACCGTCATCAGCCGTGTCAGTAGAGTTCATGTCTACTGTTTCGTTATACAAGCCGCTCCCTGTAGAAAGGGCTATAGGACTTGTGGTCCGTCCAT